TCCTTCTTCTCCGGGGCCCCAGGGGAAGTGCCAGACCGTGCCCTAACGGCTCCACTTACTGCACTTTGTCCTGGGGGTTTGCTTTGCGCCTTCCGCTCATGACTGACGCAGGGTCCAGCAACGAGTGCTCCCAGATGGAGTTCGCGCCATTGTTGTACAAGGTCTCCACCATCTGTAAAAGGTGGAACACAAATCGTGAGCACCAAGCCTGGGCTTTCCTGCCTGCTGAAGCAGCTGAACGGCTGCCAGACGGGCACCACATTGCTGCTGGCAGTGAGCATTTCCACCGCACGGGAGGGTCTGGGTGCCTTTTGTTTTTTAAGCTGGTTTTCAAAAGTTTCAGAGTGGAGGCCCGTTCTTAAAAAAAAATTAGCAAATTCAAGTAGAAAGTTGAAACTGGCAGGGTAAACATCACACAGCACTACAGACATTTCCAAGGATTCAAACCGTTTGAAAATGTGACCTTCAGAGGGAAGTTCAGGTTTGGGGCTTACCCAGGAGAAGTTTTCAGTTTCAGAATTTCAACTTCCTCATTGTCAGTCTTTAGGAAGCAGCTGAAGACAGTTTTATTTAGGACAGCCTTTGACTGATTTGGGTTTTTTTTTTAATTGGCAGTCCTAACTGGAGTTTTTAAACTATTGACTTTTTAATTTGGTTTTTAGAAGTGTTGTTTTATTGTGGTTTTTTAAATTTATTTTAATAACGTCTTTTTATATAGTAAGCTGCCTTAAGTTCTGCAAGGAAGAAAGGGGGCTAATAAATGTTTAGAAGAAAGGAAGAAAACACACACTCCTTATCAGAATGTCACCCACAAACACCAAGACGCGAAAACTAGAACTGGTGTTCTAGTGGTGGTGTGCAGCAGGAGTGCCGGTGAAGCAACGGGGTGGCGTGGCAGAGACGTGCGGAGACCTGGGGACTCGGCAGGCATGGCGAACATCCGGCGTCGAGCAGCAGCTGAATCCGGGCGAGGATTGGACGGGGAGGCGTAGTGATGCGGCGATGCAGCGTGGCGGAGCCAATTGGACGTATGCCGGAGCTGCGACCGTCGCACAGCCGCGCACCACGAAGACCTCGCCGGAAGGAGTCGCTACAAGCAAGATCTACACCGAGGCGCCGTCGCTAGGAGGTGAAGAGCCCACTATGAAAAGAGCCGAGGAAAAAGAAGAGCCCTGCTGTCTGGGTGCTGGTAGGCATTCACCTACCCTTGTGAATTGTGGCCCTAGATAGGATGTAACTAATCATATGTAAACCGCTCCGAGCCTCCGGGAAGGAGCGGCATAGAAACCGAATAAATAAACAAACAAACTGTGCCCTGTTCCTGCTCAGCTTCTCCACACCCACCTCCAAATGCAACGGTGTCCATGGGGGGCTGCCACAACTTCTTTCTTTTCATCCCAAGTCCCGGGCCCGACCTTGACAAAACGGCTTGAAAACCCCTGCCCCCGGCGGACCCACATCCCTTGTCCTAGTACTGCAGCGATTAAAAAATGGTGCTTTATTGAACAGTCTCCCAAAGGTCATGTAGCCTGTCCTGGTTACCGAGCTCTTAGTAGAGGATCAAGGTCCAATCTGTTGATTGTTTTATGGTGCCTGAAAAATCCCTTCACAGGATGTGGGTGCACGTTTCTCTATCATCGATTGTTTAAATGTTTTAACAGTGTTAAATGTTAAGTTTTAAATGTTTTAACTGTATATGAATCTTGGCACATTGGGCCAGGCAATGTGAGCCGCCCTGAGCCCGCTTGCAGGGAGGGCGGGTTATAAATACAATAAATAAATAAATATCAACAAAGAGCACGGGAGAGATTATGTTGCCTTCCGTGGATGGTGTGGGCATCTTGCCTCACAGCACTGAGGGCTTCTCAAGGCAGCCAGCACATCATATGATCGCCAGTTTGGTGTCGTGGTTAAGTGCGCGGACTCTAATCTGGGAGAACCGGGTCTGATTCCCCACTCCTCCACCTGCAGCTGCTGGATGACCTTGGGCAAGCCGTAGTTCTGTCAGAGCTGTTCTCTCAAGGGCAGTTTCTGTCAGAGCTCTCTCAGCCCCCACCGACCTCACTGGGTGCCTGTTGTGGGGAGGGGGAGGGAAAGGAGTTTGTCAGCCGCTCTGAGACTCCGAGTGGAGGGCAGGGGATAAATCCAATCTCTTCTCTTCTTCATATCACTTTGTTCTGTATGTGATGGCCACATCCTATTCAGCTGTTGTACGCTGTTTCCAAGTCCCCATCCTGACCAAAGAGTTGCTTCCACATCATAGAATGTTCATGAACTTGGTAGGAAGTGAACAGGACCAGGCACGGAATGCTGACAGCTGGTGCTGGGATGGAGGAAGGGACAGAATCGGACGGTGTGCGGACCACTGCACTTCTCTGCGCAATTCCACCAAACAGCAGTTTTTAGACCATCTATTTTCAGGGAACACTTTCCTCCTCAACTACTTTCTTGTACATCACTAAAAATTTTGGACATTCTCAAGGACACACATGCAGTTCATGCAGAGAACTGGCCAGGCCTTGTGGGCCTCACCGTTGCCACATACGAACTGGCAGGAGGCCCTAAGACTAGGGGAGCCAGGCCCCACTCCCCGAGCTTCTGAGGCAGTGATGTTGTGCTATGAGTCGTCCACGTGAAAACCTGAACATAATGTCAGCCAACACACTGGAATCCACCCCCCCCCACATTCTACAGTAATATTGGACATGACATGAACACATAGTATGATGTCATCCCCCCCCCCCATTTCTCCATCTGGCTCAAATGCAAGGGCAGGTGGGAAGGTCCTGAAGCGGGCAAATGGTAAGCCCAGCTGGCAAAATTAATCGTAGATGAAAATGCATCCCACTACTACGCTTCTTCTCAGCCAGAAACCTCCAAGAACCCCAGGGACGCTACACAACACACTCCAGAAACCATAGCTACAAAGAGTTACGGAGAAGCTGTTAGGTCAATTTTCTGGATACAAAACATAGAATCTGTTGCCACCTTCGCCTCATCTGTTTGCACAGAACAGGAACAGCAACAATGCATACAAGAGAAAAGAAGAAGAAGAAGAGATTGGATTTATACCCCATGGCCCTTCACTACCCAAGGGAGTCTCAGAGCGGCTTACAAACTCCTTTCCCTTCCCCTCCCCACAACAGACACCCTGAGGTAGGCGGGGCTGAGAGAGCTCTGACAGAAATGGCTCTTTTTCAAGGACAGTTCTTATCAGAACTACGGCTTGCCCAAGGTCATCCAGCAGCTGTGAGTGGAGGAGTGGGGAATCAAACCCGGTTCTCCCAGATTAGAGCCCGCGCACTTCACCACGACACCAAAAGGAGGCAGCTTCTAATAAGCATTCACACAGAAGGGTGCGCTTAATAGTAACCAATCCTGAAAGTCACAGACACGCACCTGAAAAAAATCAAGAGGGTGAAACCTGAGGACTGCCCTCAGAAGCCTGAGTTCCATTTATTTATTTATTTAAACTTGTACCCCGCCTTGCCGGACAGCTGGCTCAAGGTGGCTTACAGATATTAAAATATTAAATATTACAGATATTAAAATGTTAAACTTACCTCACCGGGTCTTACTTCCCAGCAAGTGCACTCAGGGTTGGGGACATGAGTCAGAAAAATCAGCAAGGTCTCCCTTCACAGACAGCACCCAGCCCATACCCAGTCTGGTCACCGCAGGCCTGGCTGCCTACGCCACGGAAGTGCTGCCTTCCCAGGAGGAAGGCAAGGAAGCTTCACAAACGCAGACGCTTCCCCTACCCCACCCCACAGGCCAAGAAACGCCCATGGCAGGCACCTCTTCCACAGGTTGCTTCTGCAGGCAGCTGCAAGGCAGAACAGCAGAGCTGCCGCTTACCTGCAGCAGCGTCGGGGGCCACGGCGTGTGCTTGAGGTGCTTGACTTGGGAGATGTGGCGGCCCAGGCTCCGGTGGACGCTGCAGCACTCATCGCAGATCAAGACCCCCCTGTTTATGGACGCCCAGCACGGGTCTGAAAGAGAACACCGGGGGTAAGGAGCAAGCGGAAGACGCGGGAACCTGGCCTGAACGGCTCAGCTGACGGGACGGATTCATTCTGCTTCACCCAGCGTGCTGCTGGGCGACAGGAAGCAACGACCACACAAACTGAGCTGTCGCTCAAGTGAATGAACTTTCCCCCACCTAAGTTTAAAAATTTAAAAACCAGTTTATGCATCAGTAAGCAAGGGGGGGGGGGAAGCTGGACCCAGTAAGCAAGAAAAAGCTGGACCCAGTAAAACAAGGGAAAAAAGCTTATGCTCTTATATTGTTCTTATATTGCCCATTCTCATATTACCTACAAGGATGGGCAGGCACTGACAGGAATGCATGAGGGCCGCTCAAAACAGGAAGTGTGAAAAGTGTGAAGGCAAATTTGGTCTTTAGTCACAGGCTGAGGCCTTGGCGAAATGGGGCAATTTAGGAAGTTTGCTGACAAGATGCAAGGTCTCTTTATAGGAAGTGGGGGGTGGGCGGTGGAGACACACACGGTTATTTGCTATCAAGAAATTAACAGTAGCAGGTGCCTCGTTACATGAAAAGTGTGGAGCAGCAGAGAAAAACGATCAGTCAGGTCCTACAAAAAGTGCCCTTGCGTAGCCAGGAAGCTTTTCTCTTGCTGGCCTTATAGGACAAAACGGCCGCAACAGCCAAACACCACCATTCCCCTGGGAAGAGATGGATTAGGAGGAGCCCGTCAATATCAAAGAGCGGGGTAGGCGAGGCTTCCTCAAAAACACCACCTCACTGCTAAAGGTGAGGGGCACTGACTGCAATGCTGCTCAGTGGTCCCGGGCACACGGGCCAGATATCGCCGGGGGGGGGGTGGCTAATTGCCTTGGCGCAGTTTAATCCACGATTACGCGATCAGACACGCCGGCGGCACAGCACGGGTCCTTCCCTCAGTGCCAGCGAGTAAACGAGGGACCGGAGGGGAATGCCGCGTGCTGGCCCGATCACACCACAGGCGTCTGGAGGCAGCCCGTGGCAAACGTTTACTAGTACCTTGGAGGTACTAGTTTTTAAATGTGCATTGTTGGCGGTAAGCCACGGGTGCGCTCCACTTCCCAGATGTTGGGGTGTGATCGCGCCCAGATAATCCGCCCACCTTCCGTGCCTCTCCCACGGCAACTCTGCCTTGTGACTTTTATGCTACTGTTATACCCTGGCTTGTTGTAATGACACCCGCTTGCTTAGTAATGGACAGCGAGGTTCAAGACCCCAGGAGCGTCTCGGAGACCCACAGGATTTTGGTGCTACCAGCTTCTGAGTGTCAAAGCTCCCTTCATCAGACATCAACGTATCTGGCAAAGAAAGGGAATGTTGACTCTGGAAAGCTCCCACACCCCAAAATCTAGTTGGTCCTTATGGTGCGACTGGGATCTCGAATCTGGCTCCCTTACTGCAGATCCAGCATGGCTACCGCTCAGAGTTTTATTAGTTTTTCAGAAGTGAAAGAAAAGAAGACAACTACAAAGAGAAAAAGACTAACATACAACAAATATGGAGTCTGTACTCACTGTAACTATTTAAGTTTGCATAGACAGAATCATTCTGTTGTGCACCTAGATCAGTTTAACCTTTTAACAACGGAGCTTTAGTTTTAAGTATTATTTTACCAGATACATACAGTACATGTAATAACTATGGCTAGAACAACATTGGGGACAGCACTGCCCCTTGAGGCACCCCACATTCAAGAGGGCGCCTCCGGGACCGCTGTTCCCCTGTCACCACCCTTTGTCCCCGACAAAGAACTCACCAAGGTTTAAGGGCTGGATGTAGCCCCCCCCCTCCACCCCCACAACCCGTGCTGGCCCTTGGCAGCTCTCACAAAGGCTGTTTTCCTGTTTTAAGACCCCAGGCAGGCGAGAGGGTGTGTGTTTGGCGTACAGACGAGCACCTCTGTACTGAGCGCAGGGCCTGAAGTTGCCCACAGTATTATGGAGCAGAGCACGCCCGGTCAGGCCTGTCGCTACCGTGGGGGGCATCTTGGGGCTAGGCCCCTGGACTTACTGGCAAGGCCACCTGACTTCCTATCCAGCCCAGGGCCCCCGAGTGGTGGCAGATGTGGGGAAGAAGCCAGGTCTTCCCTTAATTTGATTAGCCAGGGTCCCCCCTAAGAAATGTAAATGCCCCCCCGACTAAAAAAACCCTGGCTACGGGCCTGCTCCCGGTCTACAAGGAGGGGCCCCCAGACGATCAGAGCAGCCGGCCCCTCGCCACGTGTTTGGTGTCTGGACTCGGCGGGCCAGGGGGGCAGATGCTGGAGCCCAGGCAGGGAGATGGGGGTGGGTGGGACCAGAGTTCCCTCTAAACTGAGTTAGTGTGAGCTAGCTAACAGTTTTTCAGCTTCTGGCTCACACATTTTTGTCTTAGCTTGGGAAGGAGGGCTTCAGAGCAAACCAGTTTATGCAGGAGCCAAATCGTTCCCTCGCAGCTTTAATGCCAGGAGCTCACAAAGTAGTATTTTTGCTCACAAGACTCCACAGCTTAGAGGGAGCCTTGGCAGAGACCAGTGTCCCCTCTAAGCTGAGTTAGTGTGAGCTAGCACACAGTTGTTTTAGCCTCCGGCTCACACATTTTTGTGTTAGCTCAGGAAGGATGGGGCTCCAGAGCGAACTCATTGATGCAGCAGCCAAATTGCTCGCTCACACCTTTCATGCCAGGAGCTCACCAAGTAGGATTTTTGCTCACAGGACTCCACTGCTTAGAGGGAGCCTTGGCCGAGACCAGTGTTCCCTCTAAGCTGAGTGAGTGTGAGCTGGCTCACAGTTCCTTAGCCTCCGGCTCACCCGTTTTTCTCTCCGCTCAGGAAGGATGGGGCTCCAGAAGAGCAAACTAATTCACGCAGCAGCCAAATCGCTGGCTCACCACTTTCATGCCAGGAGTTCACCAAGTAGACTGTTTTGCCCACAGGGCTCCAGAGCTCAGAGGGCGCCTGGGGGGGGCGCCCCGCCCCGCCCCCCCCCCCCCCTCTGCAAAACTGACCCGCACTTTAGGCCCCCGCCGCGGGGAGGGGGGGGAGCTTCCTTCTGCACGCCCAGAAGAGAGGGGGCGGGGGAGACAAGCGGCCGGGGAGGCGCTCTGCACATGCTCAGAGGCGGCGGAGAGCGCCCCCCCCGGCCATTCACCCCTCGAGGGGAAGCCCACCCGTGTGTCCGCCCCACCCTCCTCCCCGAGAAGCCCGTACCCGGAGCGCTGCAGTCCGCGCAGACGTCGCTGCTCCGCAGCCGCTTGGACATGGCCGGGCCGAGGCCGGAACCGCCGCTAACGGGTCCCTCTCGGCGCCCTCGGGCACGGACCCGCCGCCTCGCGCATGCGCCCGCCAGCGGCGCGCGCCCGCTCCGGGAGCGCCATTCGCCAACCCGCTCGTTACGCCACCCGCGGGCGCCTCGTCGCCGCCGCTGTTGTCGTCCCGCCGCGAGGAGTGGAGGCGGCGTCCTAGAGCGGCCGCGGCGTGCCAGCCATGTTGACGCCGGGCAAGGAGCGGGGTAGTGCGGCCATATTTGATGCTGGCAGTCTTCCGACACTTCCTCTAAAAAAAGAAATTCTGCAGGAAAACAAACAAGGATTTCTTCCCAGACATTTAGGATGGAAACGCCAGTAAGGAATAAAGCACGGACGCAACGTTTGCTTTATTTGTAAGGCCGGACCTTCCTCCACACATAGTTGAAGAAGTGAGCCGCAAGAGAAGCTCACGTTTTTAATAAATGACTCAGTGCTCTTTTTGGCAGGAACTCCTTTGCATATTAGGCGACACGCCCCTAATGTAGCCAATCCTCCAAGAGCTTACAGTAGTAGCCCCTGTAAGAAGAGCTCTATAAGCTCTTGGAGAATTGGCTACAGAAGGGGCGTGTGGCCTAATAGGCAAAGGAGTCCCTGCTACACAAAGAGCCTAGAAGGGGCGGGGCTTCCCTGGAGCCTCGGCGTCCCTCTGGGAGAGAGAGAAGTCGCGCCCGACTGCCGCCCTCACCCAAAATGGCGGCCGGGGCGCCCTGGACCGGCGCCGGCGGGCGGCCCTTTCCCAACATGTCTCCCGAGCGCCCGCCCGGCCTCCGTTGCCCTCCCCCAAGGTGGCGCCTGCGGCTTCACGGGGGCCGCGGAGGGACAGGTGGCGGTTGCCCTGAGCGACCGCTGGGCCGGCCCGCGAGTGAAACGCCCCAGAGGCCGGCTGGCCCGCCCGGGCTCTCTTCCTGACAGCCCGAGGCTCGGCGCGGGCGAGAGAAAGGGCCGAGAGAGAGGGGGGGCCGGGGGAGGGGGGCTGCGCGGCCTGGCTGGGTGGCTGGTGGGCGGTCGGTCGAGGGGGGCAGGGGGAGGCGGCGCCCCCCGAAGGGGGCCGACCGGGAGGGGCCCAGCATGAGCTCCGAGGGCCTGGCTGGCGGCGGCGGCAACAGCAACCACATCAGCAGCGGGTTCCCCCTGCACGCCTTGGTCTGGCGCAACGACCACCGGCAGCTGGAAAAGGCGCTGGGGAAGAACCACCAGGTGAGGGGGGGGGGTCGGCCTCAGGGGGTCTGGGCGGCCTGGTATGCTCCCATCCTATTCTGCCCTCCCTCCCAGGAACCTGGCTCAGCCCCGATCTACTTTACCTCTACGACAACCCTGCAAGGTAGCAGTGCCGGATTTATGCATAAGCTAAATAAGCTACAGCTTAGGGCCTCGCAATCTGCTGGGGCCTCGAATAAAAACACAATATAAAAAATGATTTCAAATATTAAAAAGGCGTATATATTTTAAATTTTTCTGAGACCAGCTGATGTAATTTAAAACAGTAGGGGGCCTCTGGGTTTTGTATAGCTTAGGGCCTCAGCAAGTCTAAATCCGGCCCTACGAGGTAGGTTAGACGGGGTACGGCTGCTCGCTCGAATTTGCCAGGGACTGCAACCAGTACTCCCTCTAAGGTGTGGAGTCCTGTGAGCAAAAGTCCTACTTTGTGAGCTCCTGGCATTAAAGATGTGAGCCAGCAAGTGGACTCTGCTGCGTCAATTAGTTGGCTCTTCTGGAGCCCTCCTTCCCGAACTAAGGACTTCCCGTGGAGTCCTGTGAGCGGAAATTCAACTTGGTGAGCTCCAGGCATCGAAGTTGTGAGCTGCGGCATAAGAAGAAGAGAAGAGAGAAGAGATTGGATTTATACCTCACCCTTCATTCGGAGTCTCAGAGAGCGGCTTACAATCTCCTTTCCCTTCCCCTCCCCACAACAGACACCCTGGGAGGTAGGTGGGGCTGAGAGAGCTCTGAGAGGACAGCTCTGGGAGAACTTGTGACTGACCCAAGGTCATCCGGCAGCTGCAAGTGGAGGAGTGGGGAATCAAACCCGGTTCTCCCAGATTAGAGTCCACATACTTAAACACTACACCAAACTTTATGTTTTATTGTAAATTATTATTGTATGCTGCCTTGAGCCTGCTTGTCAGGCAAGGCGGGATAGAAATCGAATTAAATAAATAAATAAACTGGCATAAATCAGTTTGCTCTGGAGCCATCCTTCCTGAGCTGAGACAAAAATGTGTGAGCCGGAGGCTAAAAAACTGTGAGCTAGCTCACACTAACCCAGCTGAGAGGGAACACTGCCAGGGAGCATCGTGGCTGAGCAGGGATTCGAACCCAGGACTCTCTCTGAGTTCAGATAAAGAACAGCATCTGCTGCACCGCACCAAAGGAACAACAGAGGGAAGGGGTGGCTCCCTTTGGCTTCTTGCTCCGAGTGCCGTGGGACAAGGACCATGCCCGGTGGGGCAGACCAATGTGGAAGGAGCTCTGTGCATCCTGGCTACTTCTGGGCGGGCCTGTGCTATTTTTAGGCGATACTCTTTTAGGCTTGTGTTTAAAAATGGAGTTTCCAGAAAGAGGAATCTGTGCTTTTTCCAAACTCTGTTAAGTGACTTGGGGCCAACTTAAGATCAGCATTAAAAGGAGAGAGAGAAACAGAAAACACATAAGAACATAAGAACATAAGAGATGCCAATGTTGGATCAGGCCAAAGGCCCATCCAGTCCAACACTCTGTATCCCACAGTGGCCAGAAATACCAGTGCCATCAGGAGGTCCACCAGTGGGGCCAGGACATTAGAAGCCCTCCCACTGTTGACCCCCCCCAAGCACCAAGATGACAGAGCATCACTTGCCCCAGAGTCCCTATCTATACCTTGTGGCTAATAGCCACTGATGGACCTCTGCTCCATATGCTTATCTAATTCCCTTTTGAAGCCGTCCATGCTTGTAGCTGCCACCACTTCCTGTGGCAGTGAATTCCAAGTGTTAATCACTCTTTGGGTGAAGAAGTACTTCCTTTTATCCGTTCTAACCCGACCGCTCAGCAATTTCATGGAGTGCCCACGGGTTCTTGTATTGTGAGAAAGGGAGAAAAGTACCTCTTTCTCTACCTGCTCTTTCCCATGCATAATCTTATAAACCTCAATCATGTCACCCCTCAGTCGTCGTTTCTCCAAGCTAAAGAGCCCTAAGCGCCTTAACCGTTCCTCATAGGGAAAGTGTTCCAACCCTTTTATCATTCGAGTTGCTCTTTTCTGCACTTTTTCCAAAGCTATAATATCCTTTTTAAGGTGTGGTGACCAGAATTGCACACAGTATTCCAGATGAGGTCGCACCATTGATTTATATAGCGGCATTATGATATTGGCTGATCTGTTTACAATACCCTTCCTAATAATCCCCAGCATAGCATTGGCCTTCTTTATTGCAGTCACACACTGTCTCGACATTTTCAGTGAGTTATCTACTACAACTCCAAGATCTCTCTCTTGATCTGTCTCTGCCAGTTCAGACCCCATCAACGTGTATTTATAGTTAGGATTTTTGGCTCCAATGTGCATCACCTTGCACTTGGCCACATTGAACCCCATTTGCCATGTTGACGCCCACTTGCCCATCTTTGACAGATCCCTTTGGAGTGCCTCACAATCCTCACTGGTTTTCACCACCCTGAACAACTTCGTATCATCCGCAAATTTAGCCACTTCACTGCTTACTCCCAACTCCAAATCATTAATGAACAAGTTAAAAAGCAGTGGACCAAGTACTGATCCCTGTGGTACCCCACTGCTTACACCCCTCCACTGGGAGAACTGCCCATTTATACTCACTCTCTGTTTTCTATTAATTAGCCAGTTTTTGATCCATAAAAGGACTTGTCCTTTTATCCCATGATTTTTGAGCTTGCTTAGGAGCCTTTGATGAGGAACTTTATCAAAAGCTTTCTGGAAGTCAAGGTAAACAATATCTATTGGATCCCCCTTGTCCACATGTTTGTTCACCCCCTCAAAGAACATTAACAGGTTAGTGAGACAAGATCTTCCCTTACAGAACCCATGTTGAGTCTGCCTCAATAGGTTTTGTTCATCTATGTGCCTACTAATTCTTTCCTTAATAATGGTTTCCACCAATTTACCCGGTATCGACGTCAGACTGACAGGCCTGTAATTTCCCGGATCTCCTCTGGAACCCTTTTTAAAGATGGGAGTGACATTAGCTACCTTCCAGTCCTCAGGAATGGAGGCTGATTCTCCAGCTATACTATGGAGTGTCCCTAAATCAGAGAACGAGTGGATCAGAGTCTCTCTGTAGAATGGCAAAGTAAAAATGGAGGAAACCCCCCCCCCAATTGTTTTCAGAACATCTGAGTCTCTGCCCTCCTGGGCCTGCAGACATGTCAGTCAAAGGAAAAGGCTAGCTGAAAAGGACCTTGAAATATGGGGGAGGAAGGGGAAAGATCTCATGAGCTCTGAGCTCATCTCAGTGCAAGGTGCCGTGATGCCAATTCAGGGCAAAGCCCCGGGTGGGGTATGGTATGTGTCTGCCCAGTGATCATCAGGAAAGAACAGCTACCTCCTGTCAGCTGCTCAAGCTCCAAGGCATGGTTTTCCAAACTGTGTTGCAAAGTGGAGGCGTCTGAAGTTTCCTCACCCTCCAGGTTTCCCTAAAAGACACTTTTCCAACCACTTCCAAGCCTGCAAAGTGCTATGGGGTAACAGAACCAGCCAATGCCTGGTATGTCTTGACCGTGTGTGTTCTAGAACACACCCCAGATTCCTTTGGGTACACTGAGTTTCCATTAGTGGTGTTAAGGATCTAAATTGATGCAGGAAAATTACATATTTGAATGCTACTGCTCTTATGGATTTGTTGGGTGCAGGAGGTGGAATTCCAGACCTTCGCAAACCTTGATTTCTCCTTGTATTTGGGCAGCTAAGCAGAAAGTGTTTCCTTGTCTGTTTGCGTTTTTGCCCCACTGTTCCCCCAAGGAGCTCAAAGCAGCATACGTGGCACAGAATTTGAATAAGAACATAAGAGAAGCCAATGTTGGATCAGGCC